GGCGAAGATGATTGAAGCACTCAGCTTTGGAGTAATCTAGTTCGAGAGAAGATTATCTTTTCGACTGTGAAGGTCTCAGGGGCTACTGTGGAGATTATGGGTACCCCATACCCACATGGCACAGTTATCCGACTGGCTATAGGGGATAACTTATATCTATGGAATATGTAACAGATTATGACTTGGGTATTACGTTTCCTTGTATATTATGGAACGGCCTAAAGTCCTGGTTTGATAAGATTGTAAAGTAGACTTAGGAAACCGATACCGTATTGGTTAAGGTTTCTATCTTGTAACCCTGCCCCCCAACCTATATAAGGAGGGCAGGGAGCCCCCTCTAGGGGCATGAGACAACCTGATCGTCAGATCTATACTACACCCGGCGGATTCAAATCCCCAAACAGGAGTAGGGTATTACCTCTCATTGAGAGGGCCTGAACCTGTCTAAATCCTTTGTCTCCGCATCCATCCACTTTTAGGTCTCGTGCGCTACCCCCTTTTATTATTGCCGAAATCATGTTTCGACAACCAAGAAGCCCAAAGAGCGACAAGGCCCAAGAAGGTCGTTCGCCATTCGTAGGCTAGCCCAAGAAGCCCATCAAGGGGGCCCATAGTTAGAATGGACATTATATGCCATCACTAATGTCCCTATCATAAGGATATACATGTAAATTCCCCTGTACACATTAAACCCTAGAGGGTATGAGACTATACTAAGACTATAAATAGCCCCTAGGGGCATGTAATGGGGTGATCCGAAAAAATTCCATCAATTAATACATTGTTTAACTTTTCAACCATTCCACTAAGTGAACCACGTCTTTCGACGTGAAGCAGTTGTCTCTTCAACAACAGCTGGCGCCGTTCGTGGGGAACCCAGGACGAAGCTACTGATGTCACCGAAGAAAATGGTGAAATAGAGAGTTGCGCCTAGGAGAAAAGGAGGGTCAAGGCAAAGCGGAGATGGCCGGCAAAGGAGTAGAGCTTCATGTTGGCGAAGGGGACGGAGAGCAGCCTTTGGGCGGAGCAGGCCAAGTCGTCACGCCTTCGGATCAAGCGACGGCTTCGACTATCCAAGCCGCGACCAAAGTATCAACTTTGACCATCCAAGCTACAACCCGAACGACGGCTTCAACGAAGCACGCTTCGACACAAGCAGCGTCGAAGGCGGCGGAGATAAGGGGGCGGAGGCGGCGCCCTCCTCCCTCTTTCGCATGGCTCGTCGGCATCTTGACGGGTAACGGGGGAGGCGGAGCTTGACCTCGGCGGCCTGAACTCGGGGATCTCGGGGAGGTCACTACCGCTGCTCTCTTGGTCAAGTTGGGGAAGCCGCCGCCAATGTCACCCTTTTGGGGAGCTCAGGAAGGCTGCCACCACCACTCCACCGCTCTCCTCGCCGAGCTCAGGATGGGTGCCGGTGAACTCAAGTGTGGAGGTCGATGGGAACTAAGGAGAGAGGGGTCAGAGAAGAAGGATCGGACAAGAAAGAGAAAGAAGAGAGGGGATACGAGATGGAGGTAGAAGAAGAGTATTATGCTTTGACATGTGGCCCTATATCTTTTGTATATTTTTGTTTATTGATTGGACCACCACACATCAGCGCCACGTTGGCGAAACCAAACTAAAAACCACTCAAGGGGGTAAACTAGGTGTGTTTGGTTCCCGATCAAGGTTGGATGAGATATGGCGGTCCATATTTTGCTGGATATGGCGATCCGGTTTTTATTTGGTAGAGTGAATATGACGATCCAGTTTTTTATTTGGTTGTAAGGATGAAGGTGGATTTGGTGATACATTTTTTTTGTTTGGTTGGGGGAGTAGGATGGATGAGTGGTTGTAATCACCCTTTCATTAGAGGTGGTGAGTATACCCCCTTCAAATTCACCAAACCCAAACAAATTATCAATCTACTACAAACAAAAAAATCTAAATAGAAATAAAAAGTCAGAAAGAAATAAAAGGGGAAGGAGAAAAACGAAAAAAAGAAAAAAAAGATCATCTTCACCGACCGCTGTTGCGCCTCATCTCCTGTCCGTCAGCAACCGTTGCGCCTCATCTCCCGCTCGCCGGCCGCCGCCCCACCTTCTTTCTCGCTGGTCGCCGCCCCGTCTACAAATCGTCGTCTCGGTCGTCGTCGTCGTCCTAGTGTGGCAGTGGCAGACCTCTTCCTGCTGCGTCACCTCCGGGCTCGCCGCCGTCCCCTCTTCTCGTTGCCACCACCTCGAGCACTCGAGCCCGCCGCCACCCTTTCTTTCTGTCGCCGCACTCGTATCCCGCGTTGGCCACCGAGCTCGCATCCCACTGCCCCCCTCGCGTTGTCGTCGTTGTTCTCGCATGGTGAGAGGGCTGACGCGACCCACCTCATCACTCGCCCCGCTCGCCCGAGCACTCGGGCGGCTCCATCCAGCCAAATCGGCCGGATTCCTCCATCCTATCTGGAGGGAATATTCCCCTCCAGGCCGCCATATCCCACTCTCGCCCACAAACCAAACACCCACAAAAAATGGGCCGCCATGTCCTATCCACCCAAATCCCTCCATCCAAACACACCCTAAATGGTATTGAAAATTCGGGGGTGTTAAATACCCGGTTTTAAACTTCAGGTGTGTCTCTTATACAAAACGAATAGTTCGGGGGTGTAAAATGGACTTATCCCTAAAAAAACAATGGAAAGCTGCACTCCAAGTATTCAATTGTAATGGTACTAGTAGAAAATTTTGGGCAGTCTATCGATGTGTTCAATTACAGAATAAATTCTTATACTTATCTCGGGAACATATGTTATGCACACATGTTTCCCATGCACACCAACTAGCAAATGTCACACAAAATTTTAGAAAAAAGTTGGATATATACTTCCAATAGTATTACACCTTCCTGTGAAATCTTATCTTCAAATTCATTATATTTTATCCGTATCTGACAGATTTTCTCCCTTAAAACTTTCACATTTTTTGTTTTTTTGTTACAGCTAAAATATAATGAATTTGAATATGAGACTTTTCGTATATGTGCAATACTATTAATAGTAAATGTCCAAATTTTATAGAATTTCCATGAAATTTGCTAATTGATATGCATTGTACACGGAAAATCCGTACATAAAATATGTTTTCACTTATCTCTCCACTATCCAATGTAGCTAGGATGGTGGAGTGGCAAATAGTAAAAACTAGTTGGCACCCCGCGTCTTTGTTGTGGGTTTTATAGTTTTATCGTCAAACAAAATCATAGTTTTAAATGGTTAGGTGCAACTCTATGTATATAGAAAATATATGATAAATGTGAATGTATAGCCTTATGTTATTACAATATAATTCATGCTTTATTTTTCCAAGCATAATTGTGTATTGTTATAATATATGAATATTATTTTCATACGCAATATGGGTATCGTTATAGTTAGACAATTTGCATCTCTCTACTTCACTCAAGTTTTTTCTGAAAATAGATTCATGTAACTATACCTAATAATTATATGCTATCTTATCATGCATAATAAAACAAAACACACATATTAAACAAAATCATATATTAAACAATAATTTGAGTTGTATTCGGGAAACATGGTGTTATGCACAAAATATGTAACAGTGCTATGTGTGACTGTGAAGTAGAGCAAAGGGAAGTGAATGGATAACTAATACTTCCTCCGTTTCACAATATAAGTCATTCTATCATTTTCCGCATTCATATTGATGTTAATGAATTTAGACATATATATCTATCTAGATTCATTAACATCAATATGAATGTGGAAAATACTAGAATGACTTACATTATGAAACGGAGGAAGTAATAAATGATTGAATTGGATGAATAAGTAGCTTCTTGATCCAACGGTTATTATCTTTGTAATAATATAATCTAATGGCTTAAAATTGTTAATGATATAGCTTCTTGTATCTCTTGCTTTATAAGAGTTAATGCTCCTTGTGGTTGCGGATTCTTTAAGACAAAAGTTTAACTCGCACGGCAGCAACCAAAAGGTGTCGTGGTGTAGTTGGTTATCACGTCAGTCTAACACACTGAAGGTCTCCGGTTCGAACCCGGGCGACGCCATTAACTTCACAATAGTGTACTTTTTCACTTCAATATATTTACTATAGTGGTTTTTATATTTTCTTTATCCATTTTTTTCACTTCAATCTATTTACTATATTGCTTTTTAGTTTCTATTTTTCACTTCAATCATTTTTATTGACTTTGCAGCTTGAAACTGCATGCAGCTAATTACTTAACAAAACCATCTTTTTTTTTTACTTCCTTTTTCTTTCACTTCAATCTTTTATTTTTCACTTCAATCTATTTACTATAATGCTTTTTATATTTTCTTTATCCTTTTTTTTTCACTTCAATCTATTCACTATAAGGCTTTTTATCTTTTCCTTTTCACTTCAATCTTTTTTTTGACTTTGCAGCTTGAAACTGCATGCAGTTAATTACTTAACTAAACCATCTTTTTTTACTTCATTTTTCTTTCGCTTCAATCTTTTTACACTGGTGGAGAAACCATATTTTCTCCCGGTTCGTAACCCCCTTTAGTCCGGTTATCCAACCGGAACTACGAACCCGGGACTAAAGATCGTTATCTTAGTCCCGGGTAAAATAACCGGGACTAAAGATCGATCTTTAGTCCCGGTTGGTACCACCAACCGGGACTAAAGAGAGGATAACAGGCGGCAGTTCAGATGATCCCCTTTCTTTGTTTTTTTCTTTTTTATTTTCTCCTTTTATTTTCTCCCGAACCAAGTGGCATGCATATCCCCAAATCAAACCCTAAATCCCAAATCAATGTAACATCCTAAATCCACATCACAAATCTTGAGGTTACTTATATACACAAATCAAATACATCACAAATCCTAAAAAAACTACACACAAATCAAATTACATCACAAGTTCTACAAAATTCATCGCAAATTCACATCACACACAAATCAAATATATCACAGGATAAATCACAAATTAAAAAAAATCCCCAGAGGCGCCGGCCGGCAACTGCCGCCTCCCCTCCGCGCCGGCCGGCCACCACCGCGCGGCCCTCCACGACGCTGTCCGCCGCCGCGCCGCCCTCCGCGCCGCCTCCGCCTGCCGTAGCGCCGTCGTGTGACCCTGCGCACCGCCAGGCAGGCCACCGCCGCGTGGCCCACCGTGCCCCGCGCCGGCCACCGCCCGGCCGGCCCGCTCTCGCTCTCACTCCGATTCGATCCGATCTAGCTGCTCTGTGAAAAAGAAAGAGGTAAGGGAAAAGAGATGGGGAGTTAGGGAGTTAAAGATGAAAAAAAGAGATAGAGAGAGAGTTTGTTGTGTGGACGGGAGAAGAGGATAAGTAATAGGGATTATATAATACGTGTTGATTTTTATTCACAGGTTAGTAACACAAACACAGGAACTAAATATATCATTTAGTTCCAGGCTGCTGTTACTAACCGGGACTAAAGATCCTAGGCGTCTGACATAGTCTGACATGGAACCAACTGGGATTAAAGATCATCTTTAGTTCCGGTTGATGTTACCAGCCGGGAATAAAGATCCTCTAGTCCTGTTGCTCTTATAAATTGGGACTAAAAATTATTTTTAGTCCCGGTTTTTAATGGGACCGGGACTATTATGGATTTAGGCCGACCGACCAAAGATGGTTTCTCCACCAGTGTTATATTGGTTTTCCATCTTGAACCTGTAGATAATTACTTAACCAGAGCATGGGATATGTGTGTTAATTACTTAACAAAAGCTTGGGATATTTGTAGTAAAGAAAAATGTTAATTGCATCCCCATTACTTAATTAATAACCTAAAGTTGGTTAGTAGTACTCCCTCGTCCTATTTTAGGTGCAACCATAAGTTTCCACGCTCAACTTTGATCATCCATCTTATTTGAAATTTTTTTATAATTAATATTTTGATTGTTATGAGATGATAAAATATGAATAGTACTTTACTCGTGACTTATGTTTTTAAATTGTTTTAAAAAATTTTCAAATAAGAGGGATGATTTGCGAAAAGCCATGGTTATACTTAAAATGGGATGGAGGGACTAAGTACTGAGCAATTGCCGCTTTGCGAGCCATTGATTTATGTGACTTGTCCTAGTAGCAGTGATTACGTTTAATCACATTCTGGCAGATTAGTTGTTGGGCCGCTTGCCCTGTAAAAGTAAGGATAATAGTAAAGCTCACTTTCTACTATTAGTCTATCTTAAAGCTAACACATATAATAGATTAGCTGTAAGGTTGGTTATAATTTTCTTTTCCTCTTTCTATTTCTCACTTATACATTTAATATATTTGTCTTGTAGCTTGTGTTAAGCTAGCTCTTGTATAAGAGCTAACACCTTTGATTTCTTGTTACCTCTCTCCTTTAAATAAACTTATAGCTCACTATTATACTTGCACTAACTTATGCAGGAAGGTGGCGGCGCACTAGTGGTGTGCGCAGCAATGGCGGTGACGGCTCGGCGGTGGCGGATGATGATGGCTTGGTGGCGCGCTAGGAGCGACGCCTCGCACAACAGCAGCGCCAAGAGGAGAAGAAGGGGAGGTGGTGCAGGTCAGCTGGAAAGATGGCGTGGAAACGATGGCTCCTGACGAGATAAGTTGTGGCAGCAGCTCGATGAAGGTCATGTTCTGCGGCGATATCGGCGTTGCAGCGACGACTCTTCGGTGAGATAAGCTACAACGGCTTGGCAAATGTTTTGGTATGCAATGACGAAAACTTGGCAGCAGAGGTCCTCCGATGAGATAAGCTTCGGCGGCTCGGCGGAGGTGGGCGATGGGGCAACAAGGTGTCGTTTGCATTGTGGGGTGTTGGTTGTCGTGTGATGTGGTGTCGGTGTAGCAGCGACGACTTTTGGTGAGATAAGCTATGGCAGCTCGACGGAGGTGGTTCTCTGCAGCGACGACGGCATGGTGGCGATAGAGTCGTTAGCACCACGGATGAGTAGGTTGTTCAGACAGCATGAGACCCTTGCTTGGCAACTATAAGGTGATTGGCGGACTAGTTTTGTTGCCTTTGTTTGATCTTTGGTGGAATAGAGAAGCTTCTGTGGTGGTTGCTGTGACAGCAAGGGGGTGTGGAAGGGCGGGCTAGCTCCGCATCTACTTCAAGTTTGAAAAAGATTAGAGCTAGTCTTCTAGTTTTTTTTTCTTTTCGGTTGTTCTTTTCCATGTTTCTCGATTATGAGTTTTAGAGTGTATGCACTCGTGTAAACCTTTGGCTATATATATTCACTTTGAATATAGAGACCGGATTTTATCCATTATCAAAAAAATGTAGGAGCAGTAGTGCAGTACCGGCTGAACCGTTCATTGGTCGGTATGGGGAATATATATATATAGTATATGGAGTAGTCTTTTTGTTCATGTGCAGCTCACATCACATGCTTTGGATGACAAAATAATGCTTGCTTAGGATAGGAAGAAGGACCGATCACCAACATGACTCCTTGAAATCCTTTGGAAACTGCACAACATTATACCCCCACCATGGCGCACTCTCAGAATCCAAGGCACCACAATGCATTTGACTAGTGATGAAAACGGTCGAAGACAACATTATTGCTAGTACATTACTGCTAGTACATTACTCCTTTTTATAGAAACAGTTTCGGTATAGTTAGGAATTTTTATACTATTTATAAATTTAACTATTTATTAGCGTTGACTTAAGCATGTTACTGATAAAACATTTTTTTTTAAAAAAAAGGGACTTTTACGCATGGTTATAAACAGAAAAGCTAAAAACATATAGTACTACTTTTACAGAAATGGTAACATTTTTATCTCTACATCATGGTTTATTGTCTATATTTACCAATTTAATGATGACAATATTAATGAAAATGATTAGAATCGGGCGTCCGGCGTGGGGGGAGCCGGATCGGGCGCTCCCCCGCGCGCCCCTCCTCCTACGTGCACACCTATTGGACCCACTTATTTCTCTCTCCCCCTTTTCCATAAAAGATGTTTCACCTAGTGTACTTACAATGTTTCACTAATAAATCTAATATTGCAGTGAATTAAAATACTCTTTTGCAAAAAAAAAACCCACATATTTTGGAAACTCTCTATTAATGGAATTTGGTTTATTTTTTGTTCCACCAAAAATATTTCACCTAGTGTACTCATGATGTTTCACTATGTGTAGATCTAATATTGCAGTGAACGAAACATTTCATTGCAAAAAAACCCACATATTTTGGAAACCCCTTATTAAGGGAATTTGGTTTATTTTTTGTTCCACCGAAAAATGTTTCACCTAGTGTATTAACAATATTTCACTGTGTGTACAGATCTAATGTTGCAGTGAACCGAAATATTATTTTGCTATTTGCTGAAACATTGTTTTTATATAGGTGAAACAACACCTGATTTAAACGAGTGAAACATTTTCGATCTGAAACAATTCCGATATACCTGGTGGAACATCGTGCAATATTTAAAAATAATTCAATAATAAGCTAAATTTTTTTCGTCGGAATATATCCATGTGTGATCTTATTTTGAAGATTTAATTGCAACAAATTTAATAGTGCAATCGGATCATGATTTGGATAAGTAATTTAGGAGAAAAATCAGTTTAAAATAGTTTTGCACATAAATCGGGCGCTGATGTCATGCTGACGTCAGTGCCTGATTTTGCTCCCAGCCGATCGGACGCCCGATGCATAGGTCCGTCCCAATATTAATAAGGCGCGGAAAGAAATTAGGAAGAAAAAAAACTTTACTCGTTTGGTTGTAATTTTTTTCCGCGTCTTTTCATCTCACTTACGTGTGGGACCCACCACCTTCCCTAACAATTATTTCCTCCGCTTCCCGGGAGCGGCAGCAGAGTGAGTCCAAGAGCTCAGTAGAATAACCTCCTCCTTACTTGTACCGCGCGAGCTAGCGAAAATCCTCCTCCCATGGCCGCGGCCTCCTCGACTACCTCGTCCTCCTCCGCCTCCAAACCCTAGATCGCCCCCCACCTACCTACCTACCTACCGCACGGAGACCCCTCCCATGGCGGACGCGGCGCACCACCTCCGCCGCCGCAGCAGCGCCGCGCTCCCCCGCGGCTGGTGCTGCTCCTTCTCCGCCACCCCGCAGAGCCCCGACCACCACCGCCCGCTCTCCGCCGCGTCAGCGGCAGGAGGAGAGGGCGTCGGCGGCGGCGGCGCGCGCGGTAAGCTCCCGCCCAAGTCGCCCTCGGTCTCGCTGCCGTCCTTCCAGAGCTCCCCGTCGTCTAGGCTCGCGGGCTTCATCGACCCCCGCCGCATTCTCTCCCCCGGCCGCGTCTCCCCCATAGACCCCGACGGCTCGCCGGCGGTGGCGGCTGGGGCGAATTCGGAGGAGGATGCGACGCCGAGGCCGTCGGTGCCGTTCGTGGCGGTGCGTGAAGAGCGGGAGGAGGAGGAGGGGAGAGGGCTGGATCTGAAGCTGTGCCTCCGTGGTAGGGACGGGAGGAGCGTGGCGATGGAGCTGGACTCCGCCGTGCTCTGCGAGAGCAGCGCCTTCTTCGCGGCCATGGCGCCGCCGCCGGAGGCCACTGTCGGCGGCGGGAGCAAGAGGATTGAGGTGGATGGGGTGGAGAACGTGGAGGCGTTCAAGGAGACCGTGGAGCTCATGTTCGAGGCCGATCCCATGCGGTGGTTCGTCAGGGCCGGCGTGTCACGAGCAATAGGCGTGCTCGAGGTGACAAATTGCGCATCCTTACCTTTTTTTTTTTCTGTTGCTGTTTCGTTGAGTTTCGCATCGAGGACCATACGCATGTGGCCATGTAGTTGTGGAAATTGCATTCTTCACGTTCGTACTGCGGGTTAATATGGTTCAATTTCGATGGTTTTGTGGTAGATTCGTGAACGTAAACATGTACTATTAACTGTGCAGTATGTACATCCATGTTTTTAACTGAATTTCTTACCGATGATTGCATTTTCTGTGAAAACCAGTGAGTTGGTATTAATCTTCTAGTGCCTACTAAAATCTCGTTAGGGATGACACCATTTTGGGAGTGCAACTCATACTAGCTCAGTAGTTCTTTTAGTTGATACGAAGATAGTGGTATGACCAATAGGATTTAATGTTCATTTTATACAACTTGTGCTGTGATGACAGCAATTAAATGAGACTAGCTAACTAATTATATCAACAATTAAATGAACTACCTAATTAATATATTTCATACTAGGGCAGCAGTTTTATAATTATTGTACCATGATCGCTATAAGGTTATGCCTTTTTCTATTCAATCAGCAATTGTTGCTGTGTGCAATTATAGTACTCCACAACGGGTCAATGGACTCATAAACTTCTATTGCATGTACACCTATAGTCGAAGCCTTGAAGGATATGAACTGAAGCACATTGAGTGTAGTAAGTACGGCATAAAGTCATCAGGAAAATAGTTCTAATAATAAAAAATGGAAATTTTAGGACAATTGCAATCTTTGTCATGCATAGTTAAGGATACCCACAACTTAGATTATTTTGACAATTTATTTTGGTGTCTTTTTTTGTCCTTAGCTGCTGATGGCTACCCTGCACTGCAGACTGTTAGTGGTCTCCAGTTAAAGGTGAGGTGTCTGTTCCAGGGTAGCTCAGCAATTGAGCACGCCATTAAGAGGGTTCAGATGTCCATATTAATACTTGAACATTGCTATCAGAGCATGAATAGTACATATTTACTCTTAGTACCATATTTATAGTTTCTTCTTGATTTAATTTTATATTGTACTAGTTCGGCTGCACTTGATAGCTGCTTTGTTGAAGCCAGCGGCTGTACAACGCAGACAAACATGCCCATTATCATCTGATTATGGGTCCCATAATCCTTACTACATCTTGAATTGCAGGTATCTTCCTCTATAATGTTTGACAGAGGAATCAAATCATGTTTGGAGTATATTGAGGCAGTTCCATGGAATGAGAATGAGGAAGAGAAGCTGAAGAACCTCTTTGCTAGATGTACTTTCGATGAAGCAGTATCCAAAGATGTACTGGCAAGATTAAAACCACAATGCCAGAGCATCTCAGACGATGTTACAGTTCACCTCATCCAATCTGTCACAAGCAGCACCAACACTGGTGCAAGAAAAGAGATGCAATCTTTAGTCAATGGTCTTCTCAGTAGAAGCTCAGTCTATCAAAAAGATTTGTCTGGGCTAAACAAAGGTAGCCTTTACCAGATTTGTTGTTCCTGTTTGAATTCACTAGTGGAGCATTTTACGGAAGACCTCTGCTCGGACAAAATTGTTAGAGATAGTAAGCCTATGATCGAAAGAGTCAGTAAGCAAACCGAGAACCTCAACTGGCTCTTTGATATTCTTGTGAACAATGATATGGCAGAAGAATTTGTTGAGTTGTGGGCTAAGCAGGAAGATCTCATCAGCATGCATGGGCAAGCATCAGCAATGTTCAGGTACGAATTAAGTCGGATATCAGCGAATGTGTTTATTGTCCTGGGGAAAGGGAAAGTTCAGTGCCCCAGCGATTTGAGGAGCCAATTGTTCTACGGATGGTTTCGGCCCATGTTAATGGATTTTGGTTGGCTTCAAAGATGCTCCAAAGGGTTAGATATGAGAATGTTGGAGGAGAATCTCGGGCAAGCGCTTCTCACTCTTCCACTCCAGCAGCAACAGAGCCTATTTGAAGAATGGTTCCAATGCTTCGCATCCAGGGGCACAGAGTGCCCGAATCTTAGTAGAGCTTTCCAGGTATGGTGGAGAAGATCATTTGTCAGATCATCCCTAGAGTCACGTCGTTGAGAGTTGAGTTCACTTGTCTGCTGATATATAATCTTGTGTGTATCAATGTAAAATTAGAGTTCTTGTATTAGCTTGTAGAATATTCTTCTTAATAAATCTAGCTTAGCTGCTTCCATTATATGCAACAATGTAAGCATAAAACTGGCCAAGAAAAAAAAACTAGAAGATATGTAGCAATTTGGATATCGTTTGCCTTGAAGATGGCATCACTGTACATGATCTTATTCCTGGGAAAAATATACAAACTGCACCAGGGAGTGTGTAGCCCTTCCCATGTTTCATACTACTTCATACAGTAGATTCATGCTACATAGTATTATATCTACATTCATGCACTCCAATATCCATGGTTTATTGGCTTAATTCAGCATAATCAGTCAGTGACATGGCTTCACTTAGCAGCTCTTGCCATAGATGAGCTCTTCAGGTTGGGCATCTTCGATGTTGAGCCAGTGGCAATCCTGGAACGCGCACCTGCCTGAGGCTTGCAGCGTCTCACCTACGTCCCGGGGGTCCAGGAAGTATGGCGTCCACGACGGCGTGCCGTCCTCGAACGAGTTGTGCGTGAGCCGCCGGATGTTGGACCCGTCGATGTCGACGGTGTAGATCTCGCCGTATGGCTGGTAATGGTGAGGGTTGGAGACCGGCTCGGCGGAGACGGCGGCGTAGTCGGAGGTGAAGACGAGGCTCTTGGAGTCTGAACTGAACCATGGGTGGTTGGTCGGTCCGGCCGCCGTCGCCGCTGTGCACCACCCGCCGCAACCCGGTGCCATTGGGGTGCACCATGATGGCGAAGCTGCCGCTCCCCGGGGCATGGCGGTCGGAGGCGAAGGCGATCCACTCGTCGTCGGGGGACCAATTGCACATCGTGTCCGACCATGGGCCCTCCGTCAGCCGCCGGATGCCACCGGCCTCGCCGTCCTTGGCGTCCATGATGTACAGGTTCTTGTGCCCCCGACCTCCCCGACCGGAACACCAACCACTTCCCGTCCGGTGGCGGCGACGGGAATGCGTTGTTCTCGTCTCCCACGGTGAGCTTCTTCATCGAGATGGTTTTGTCGTCGTCGTCGCCGAGGGAGATCGCCACCACGTCCACCTCCGTGCTCTCGATCGCGAAATCCGGCCCGATGCTTGTGTGTATATCACGCCTTTCCTCTTCCAGTCCAACGACGTCAGGAAGGCGTTCCCGGAGAAGATCTTGCGGCGACCATCGGAGCCATCGGAGTTCACCACGTACATCCCCGGCAGCCCGACGAACGCGATCTTCTTGCCGTCGTGCGAGAAGGAGGGAACGACCCGTCGATCCTGAACAAGGAGAACGTGTCTGCCGGCCCTGGGCTCTTGATGTTCTCCAGCAGCAACGGCGAGTCGCCGTTCCCTCTCCCCCAGCACCGGTGGTACCCAACGCGTGCGCCGTCCAGCGAGATGAATGGGTTGAAACGGTGCACGCGCGGCGCCACGGGTCTGGTCACCTCAAAGTAGGCGTTCTTGTCGTCACTCATGTCGATCACCTCGATGTGGCGGTAGTCCGAGCCCGCAAGCCTGGTCGCCACCGCCACGAGCCCCGGCGCACCGGGCGACGCGGCCGGCGTGAAGGCGTGGAACCCCCGCGGGGTGATTCGCTCGACGGACGCCGCTTCGACTCTGTCATCCGTGACGGAAATATGTTGAATTGGATCCAAATTCATTTACACACGTATAAAGGCCAACTTTGGACGGAGCGAAGCGGAGGCCTGCCGTCGGAGGCTTGGATCGTTATCCTTTTAGGGTTTCACCTTTATATATACTTCTTGTGAGCCGTCGTTCGGCATTGTAACCTCACCCGATATAGCGAAGATATTTGCTGGCTAGCGCTCGTGGTTTTCTCTCTCCTGCTTTAGTAGGGTTTTCCATGTTAAATGTCGTGTCTTTTGTGATTGATCTATCGTTATTTATCGTTTATTTGCTGATCATTTCCTAACAGGCGCGATAGACGACGTACCAACCATTGCTATCCTGGCAGTGGAAGAAGACGATGGTCTCGTCGGCCCAGCTCGGCTAGCTGCCGTCATGGACGGCAAGTGATCGCCAGGACCCGTAAGCGGTGCAGAAGACGTAGATGTCAGTGCGAAGGTCCTGGACCTCACCTGTAGGTGACATGGGACCGGGGATATCTTGACTAGAGGTTTGGGGCAGCCGCGGTCACCCACGTGGCCTGACCCCCTCGGGGGGGTCGGGCCCGAGGGTGAAGAGGCCGCCCCTCCCTCTATCTCTCCGAGGGGTCGGGCCGCTCCCGTTTCGTCCCCGAGGGCTGGGGCGCCCCGACCCCCTGAGGGTTTGGCGCCACGTGAATGGGTTAGGTGAGCACAGCGGCGCTCACCTAACCGCGTTTATTGCGGGTTGGACGAGCGCATCACGCCGCATTTAATGCAGTATAGCGCAGGCTTATCCGGTCCGTGACAGGTCGCAGTGTGTGACCGGTCACAGACCGGTCAGATCGCGGGTTAAGGGGCAACAGGCGGCCTGACACACGCCTCGCCCCGTCCCGTCGGAATGATGAGAGCCTCCAGGCACTCGTCCCTAGTCGGAGCCGGCGTGGGGACTCCTGGAGTTGGCACGTCAGCCCCAGCCAGATACATTCCAGGCTTCATCGCAATCATTGCAAGGAAGCTATTGTATGAAGAAGGGCAGACGTGTAGCATGCTAAACTGACACGTGGTGGACAAGAATGACCGGTCTGTGACTGGTCATACGCCGGTCGCGTCATTGGCAAACAACCGTGCTTCCACGTTGCACCTGCTTCAGACGGAGTGGAGGTTGGTATGACCCATCCCATCGGAGGGTCATTCAAACAGCAGCCATTGCAAATCTCCGCCCATTAATGAGGGAGGACAGGGCTATCCCGGTGTCAGACAAAAGTACGAGCCAAATCTTGATCAAAGTAGGATGGGTCCCCACCCAAAAGAAGGGTAGGTAGAAATGGTATATGTGGTATCCCCTTGAGATATAAAAGGAGGACCATGCCTACCAAGAAAAATGGGAGGGAGAAGATCTGAGCTCGTAGAAGGGACGGAAAAAAAAAGAGTAGGGAGAGGGTCTCTAGAGTTCAAACGCTCTTTCTCTCCAGTTCTTTGTAACTCCTTCATACACAGATCCACCAGAACACAGGATTAGGGTATTACGCTTCTCAGCGGCCCGAACCTGTCTACATCGCCCGCGTCTTGTGAATTTGCTCTCTCGCGAACCATTCCACAGATCAAGGGCTTAGAACCTCACTTAGCGCCCCAGGCCGAACCGGCAAAGGGGGGCCCACGCGGTCTCCCGGTGAGGAGCCCCACGCTCTGTCATCTGGCGCGCCAGGTAGGGGCGCGCCTGTGTTTTTCTAAGCCCTCGTCCTCTTTCGTGTGCGCCAAGCTTCTCCCGCTCAGCCCAATGGCCGAACGGGCAGTGGCGCACAACCTCTCTCCGAGCGCTAGCGGTGACGACAGCGAGCAGAACCCGCGTCGTCGAGCTCGTACTCCGCCGCCCCCCTCTCACCGAAGTCTTAGGCGGGAGGAGGCGCTCGAGGGGGTCGAAAGATCCGCGACTTCGCCGCCCACGAGCGATGGAGAAGGACGGCGAGACGGGGAGCGTCGTCTCCTCGTCTACGGTGATGGCAGCACGCCCCAGGGAGCGCTCCAGGCTGCGGGCGTGCTCCTGCGTCACCCGCCCGTCGTCCCTGATCCAGAGACTCCAACTCGACGTTGGCTAGATGACGTGGCCAACTTGGTCATGACGGCGCAACAGCGCCTAGGCGCCGGCGGGCGGTCCTCCGCCACCAAGGCCACTGGCGCTGCTACTGCCGGCTCCGTATCGTCGAGGCGGAGGGCGCGGTGAGCGGCGGCCGTTGCCCGCCGTTCGTCCGCCATTCCCTCGTCAATGCCTCCGACCCAAGAAGATGTGCGTGAGGGGCCGGATGCCCGCCTCAATATCGAGCGCCGGCGCAATGATCACCGTGCTGCCCACGCATCGGAGGGCGCTTCCTCGTCCGGAGCGCCACTTCGGTCGGGGCACGGGGGCCAGCCCCCCGTGTCCCCGGTTGGCGGTGCCGGCTGTCAAGCCTTTGTGGCGAGCCTTCGGAACGTCCGTTGGCACCCAAGGTTCCGGCCCACCATCACCGAAAAATACGACGGAAGCGTCAACCCCGCCGAGTTTCTCCAGATCTACACGACTGGGATCGAGGCCGCCGGGGGTGACGACAGGGTCATGGCGAATTTCTTCCCCATGGCCCTGAAAGGACAGGCGCGGGGTTGGCTAATGAACTTGCCACCCGCGTCGGTCCACTCTTGGGAGGATTTGTGCCAGCAGTTCACCATGAACTTCCAGGGCACATATCCGCGCCCAGGTGAAGAAGCGGACTTGCACGCGGTACAACGAGGGGACGATGAGTCTCTTCGCTCGTACATTCAGCGGTTTTGTCAAGTCCGCAACACCATACCATGCATCCCTGCACACGCGGTGATCTACGCGTTCAGGGGGGGCGTGCGGCACAACCGCATGCTCGAGAAGATCGCCTCCAAGGAGCCCCAGACCACTGCGGAGCTTTTTCAACTCGCGGACCGTGTGGCTCGCAAGGAGGAGGCATGGACCTGGAACTCCACCGGTTCCGGTGTGGCAGCTTCGGCCGCCCCCGGATCCGCCGCTCGGTCAGGGCGGCGGGACAGGAGGAGGAAGAAGAGGTCGGCCCATTCCGACGACGAGGGTCACGTCCTTGCCGTCGAGGGTGCTTCGCGGGCCACCCGAAAGGGGAGGCCTACGAGCGACAAAAAGAAGGAGGCCGGCGCTCCCAGCAGGGAGCGCCCGACCGGCAAGTGGTGCACCGTGCACAACACCTCCCTCCACGACCTCGCGGACTGCCGCGCGGTCAAAAGTTTGGCTGAGCGGACGAGGACGTGGGAGGAGGAGAGGAGGCAGGAGCGCCTTGAGGGCAAGGCCCCAGCGGCTCCCTCCGGCAACCGGCGAAGTGAGGCCAAGCAGAAGGCCCCCGCCGAGGACATTGACGATGGCGACGATGACCTAGGGTTCCAGGAGCCTGGGGCCACCATCGCCACCGTCGATGGGGGAGCATGCGCTCACGCTTCTCGTCGGAGCCTCAAGGCCATGAAGCGAGAGCTTCTGGCCGCGGCCCCTACCCATGAGGCGACGCGGCGGGCGCGGTGGTCGGAGGTTGCCCTCACCTTCGACCAGACCGACCACCCGCCGTGCGTTGCCCAGGGAGGACAGATCGCGATGGTGGTTTCCCCCACCGTTTGCAACGTGAAGTTGGGGCGTGT